ACAGATTAGGGCAATGTCATCAGCATACTACAAGCCAAGAAATCATTCACCTGGGAATAGCTCAACTCTTTCTAAGTCGTGTCTTGTGAACGCGATTTCCATGATTTCCTCAATAGCGAAGTTGAAGTGGATAGGTGACAGCGGGCTTCCTTGTTTTACACCGCTGGAGATATTGAAGGGCGGCGGACAGCTTGTCAATACACCCTCGCTCTACCCGAGCTACGCGCGTAAGGTGCTCGGATAATGTTTACGTATTTACAGGGCACACCCTTTCTCTAGCAGACAGTCCCAGAGTGTACGTCGATCTACCGAGTCGAAGGCAGCTTTTATTTCGAAGAACAGGACAACAGTAGGCCGCCAGTATATGTGACGGTGCTCCAGCTATTGACGTAAAGTGAAGGTGTGATCGATGCAACCTCGGCCTCAACGAAACCCGGCTTGCTCCTCACGAATCTGCCTTTCACGAGTGCCAATCAATTATGAAGGATGACGGAGGCAAGTAACTTGGATATTAAACCAATTACTCAGTGACTCACATTTCGAACGTAGGCCCCCTCTGAAAATCGGGACAGTAACGCAGCGGCTCCCGTCTGTCGCGATAGTTTCCTCTTCTCACAATTCCACTACTAATTCTTGTAAGTTATTCACTAAAGCAGGTCCCCGACTGATGATCATCTGGTCCTGCGGCCTTATTCAGCTTCAGCAGTACGATCTCACGTTCGACTCCTGAGCAGGGCGATCACTAGTCGACGAGAAATCTGACAATTCCGGTCGAATAAATTGTCTTTCAAAGTGCTCAGCTCAACGCTCCAGGCCTTTTGACAAGTTGTGGATAGACTATCTGCTCTCGTCACATATGTTTTCATTAACAATAGACCTCCTGCCGCTCGTTTCCCGTATCAGACGGAATAAGTTCGGTTGGTTACCATGACAGCGGCCATTTCCATCTCCAGACGCACGGCGAGACCATAAAGAATTGTCGTCTCCCTTCAGAATAGCACGCAGTTTTGCTCTGAGGTCTTTGCGAGTCTCATTCTATTCGCTTCCAGCCATCGATAAATTCCAGTGACTGAGTAGTGACCCAGTGTGCGGATTGGCTATCATATTTACCACACGAGGATTTGCCTCCTAATTAGGTCTGGTGAACATGTGCCCAGTGACCTTCAACTGTATTCTGATAGCGCTTACTCAATCGGAATGCCAGCGCACTTTGATACGCATTCAGAACATCTGCCTTCCCCAGTTGAGGGGCATCTATGCACTCACAGCGCCGTCTAGGGCGTCCACCAAAACGCACCCGCAGATGAGCACCTACAAGCGCATGGTCGCTGTTCACACATGTGCTCCAAATCGAGCGACAGTTTTGGACGCAACCTCTCCGGCGGTAACTGATGGCAGCGATCGATTTGCGTCCATGACTAGTCCAAGGCTGGTGGACATCATGTCACCCTCCGGCTGGTGTTATGTCGGAAGTTTGTGCTTGCAAGAAGTTGGCGAGCATCTTTACATGGAGTAACCACTCACCGCTATCATTACGGGAGCTCACCGCGTTGGTCACCCAGATGCAGCTCCTCAGTTGACAAGTTTCGAACTTGAGCGTTCAGAACCCCATTCAGTAATACAGTATCCATGCTTCTTCTGTGGCGAAGGATCTTGTTTCGTTAACGATAGAAGCCGTGCTTCACTGAGTTAGCGGTGCAGTTTGTGGGCGCGTAGGCTGCAATGACAAACTGGTTCTTAGCCCTTCGCGACTTCGAATCTTTGAACGAACCAGCCAGTCGGACCGCACACGTCCGTCTACTGATTGGGATCCAATCAACCAGACCAGCTTCATCCCGGCGACTCAGAGCCATAACCCACACCAACTTGGCCGGCACTCTAAGCTGCATCATCTCCGGATAGACGCTGTGAGAAGCACTGCTAGTGTTATCTGTAGGTGATCGCAGTGAACACAGAGTTCGAGTCTTGCAGGCGCGTTTCCGATAGGCGGCTGATATCGATTGTGAAGGTCTCTACTGTTCAAGCAAGTGCTGCCTATTGGCCGATCTATAGCAATGTGCGTACCTTGAGGCGTGCCAATTTGCTGGAGGATCGAGGGCTCCAAATGGGAGCCGATGAACGGGGTTTGTCTGCTTGCTTACCCATGGGCCTGTCGGCAGTGCAGAAGTGACATTCCGCGCTTGCGAATGAGTTTAAACCAGTAAGTAAACACCTATTAAAGAAAGGTAGGAGAGGACCAAGAATTGGGGATTAGGAAACAGGAAGTAAAAGAAAGTTGGAACGGGATGCTAAGTATACAAAATTACAGAAATTGGAATGGAAAGATGGGAAGACTTAAGTAGTAGCATCCCAACCCCTATCCACCTTGCTCGATGCAGGATGCCGTTCAGTATCCTCTGCGACCGTCATAGCATCAAGAATCTGTTTGAAGGGAAATTCATTGTGTTGTATTGCGTGGGCAGAATACTGTCAGGTTACCCATGCTCAGACAGGAGAACGATTAGAGTTCTTAACCAAAGCCTTTGGTTCGAAAACCTGCTCGCAAGGCAGCGTGTATGGCAATGGGCTACGAAGAGTAGTTTTAAGGAATATGAAGCCAACCTCACTCCGACCCCCAACCTAAAGAACCAGGAGGTTGTGTTTGGCTGGCCTATAGCCATTGACCAATCTAGTATCAGTGCCTGAAGATGCAAATGCATCACCCAACACAGCTCAGTGGATCACTGGGGCGCGCACGCCGTCGCAGCACGGTAATGCCCAGCCTCATTGCGATGGAATACTGCTGTTCGGATACCGGTTCTTGTATACCTGCAACTTTTCAGTGCTTAAAAGTGCGCTTGTTGCGTGCTCAAAAAGTGTACTCATTGGCGGTCTTCAAGCTATATCATTCTCATTGGGAGACTTCACGGTGAACCGCTCTCATTGGCTAACCGATCAGCTTCAGGCTACGTCGGGTCAAACGTCTTCGAACTGCGAGTGAAATTACCGGCTCTCTTAGCAAATTTGAAGTGATGGTCTGTCACACCTGTTGTGTACTGACAGCAATATCGGAGCCAATAGCACAGTTTTCTGACACTTCGTTCGCGTTGTGCTATTAGCATCGTCTGAATGTTTGGTTATCCTTGTTTCAGAGCATCTGCATCTTCAACAGCTAGAAAGCGTGCATATTGACTCTTGACTACAAGTTGTTCTCAGTGCAACAGTGGTAAAATATGAGTAAGAAAACTCAAGATTTGACAAGTCCCGTGGGATAGTCTGTGTGAAAAACAAGTGTTCAGTTAATGTGATAGCAAAGCAACGCGCGTATCTGTGGACTTACCATAGACGAGACACACCTTTATATCTTTTCTGTGTCGGTCCGCGACCACACGGCACTCACTCCTGATTTCCATGAAGCACAATCGTTGCAACCGCTTACTAATACGCCTAACTCTATATCGCTCGAACGGCAATGCCTGTCAAGTTCGCATCTCCGAATTCGACTAACGAACGTAGATACATCAGACTTCGCTTGCGGTTGTGTACAAAACCCCGTGCATAATTCTCATTGACCCACTTGTCGGTTTGGATTTGATCCTCAGAATATACTTCAAATTTCTGTGGCTTCAGCGACTGTTGTGGGTAGACAAATGGATGTGGCGGCTGCTTTGTGAACTGTAGGTTATAGATCCTTATCTGCGTTGGTGCAGGCGACTTGCAGTCCGCTCGCGACGGTCGCTTGGGAACGAAACCTGGGGGCTGATCACCGGCGTACTGCTGGTGCCTGCTCGCTATCGCCTGGTCTGAATCCATCAGGCATAATCTAGTTCATTAATTATGCCCTTTCAGTTATTAGAAGCATAACACCTGCCAAGAGAACTCTTTTCAGCAATTCACTTCAGGCAAATCCAATTACAAGACAGATAAATGTGACAGGAATGCGAACGCGGGGGGTGCGATTGGTTGACTCGAAAAAGTCGATCCACTCTATACAGTCAGACGTCATGGGTCGCGGAGGCGCACACACGCACAAAGTGCAGATGCGTTGGCCGGTGGGTATATAATGGTCACTCTCAGTCGTAATCACGGTCCGACATTACGGCCACGGCAACATTGTATCTGTGTTCACTGCCTGCACAAATCCGGTTGAAGTATTCTGATTGCCATGGCTTCAGCGGTGGTCAACAAGCACTCTCTGGTTCCTTTGGGGTTGCGCCTCGGTGCCGTGTAGACTACTTTGAAGTTGTCATTAGTCCGAATCTGATGGCCGGTACTAGGCAGATGTTCGAGGATCGAGCTTCGGACATTCCTAACCATACTATATTGCAAAGAGGCAGTACAATGCTCCGCTATCCGCCTAGATAGACGCCTGGTCGTGTGCCCGAGGTAGCTTGCACCACAGGTGCAGGTGAACCGATATAGAACAAAAGAACAAGAACGAGCCGGGATTTTATCTTTGATGCCTTGGGTGATGAGTGGAACAGTTTCAGTAAAGAAATATGATTTAGCGGCCGGATATGTTTTACCCACTGCCAGTGATAGCCTCCTATCCAGGAAGACGAAAACGATATCGCCTTAGGAAAGGAACTGAGAGGTAAACATCATTTATACAGGCCTTATCGCTTTAATTTGATCAGAAACAGCGGAATACTTTTTGATACACACAGTGGAATACCCGTTACTCTGCAGTGTCTTGTAAATAAACTCCCTTTCAGCTTCTAGAGTTTCTGGACTGCAAATTCTTTCGGCCCGATAGTACAGACAACGCACAAGGTTTCTGTTGTACAAAAACAGGAACTGCGTGTACTGACTCACCCAGGTTGTCTTATGAAAGATTCTTCTCTGGAGTGAGCCATATAATATCCACGATCAGGTGAATTCCTTGTCTCAACCAATTGCCGTGCATTCACTTGACGGCGTTTGTGTCCAATACTCGCTGATCGCAATTCAGCAAGTGTCTCTCCTTTAAATCCATTGTAAATTTTGTTTCCTCATCCACTGTCTCCTTCAATGTTTTTCAGCTTGCTTTGCGATTTCATCCTGACAAAAACCGAGACAATCCAGCTGCTGCGGACATCGTGAGTTAGACCACTATATGTGTTACTTTTTCAGTTTAAGGAGATAAACCGCGCATATCGAATACTTACTGACCCAATAAAGCGTAGCATTTATGACAAGTACGGCAGTTTAGGACTATCCATTGCGGAACAGTTCGGTGAGGAGAACGTTAACACTTACTTCGTGTTGACAAACAAATGGTGTAAAGTGGGTTATTCCATCCACATTTATCGGCATTATCTATTCGACAGCTTTTATTCTTAATCATCTTCCTCGTCACCGGATGTTTCTTCTGTTTCTGCTGCTTCTGCTGTTTCAACTTTTGTTGCGGAAAATGTAAGCCAAAAATACCGGATGAAGAGGATTTGGAAGCTGCTGTAAATCTCCAGGTAATTTATCTTTGCTATATAGTCGCCTTGCTCTTCCAAAATATTTAAACCAGCGGACGCTTTTTCAATCGCAAGGGCACGGAATAATGTTATTATAGTGACCCAATCTGAATGCTGCTTGCTAATAGCTACCGCGTTGTGTCTCGGTGCATCTCCGGGACTCGTTGTGCTACGCTGAGTAACTATTCCGACGCATCCGTAAAGTTTTCTATTGCCAACTGACAAGTGATGTGTAAACGCACACTTCCAGCTTCAACCCTCTTCATTTGAGGCGTTTGGTAGACCTTGATGACCCTATTCCTTCGGCACTCAGCTGTGACAACTAGAGCTGTTTTACAGCCAGTATTAACTTCGGCTGGTCTTCTGTAAGACCCTGTACGCAAGAGAATGTTGCGACGAAGAAGGGTAATGCGATCGTGGGTCAAAACAGCTCCCAACTCTAGCACCTTGAGACGCAGTATGGTTACTGAAACCGACGGGCGTTGGAGGAGGGAGTAATTGAAGGTAGTGAGGAAGAGAGAAGCTATGTAGTTAGCATCGAGACTAACGTCATTCGACAGAATCGTATGCAGCTGAGGAGACGATGTGGTGGTTATTAGCTGCATCGTCTGGAGCAGCAGTACCAGTATAACGAGCCGACTGACACCACAGCCGAAGGCCACAAGATCACTCGTAATGGAGCTGTTGTGGGTTCCCGCTGAGTTTACGGATAACCAGCCTGAATCAGTTGTGCCGCTCCCAACCAGCTCAACCGCAACGAAATGAGAATGCCAAAGTACAGTCGGACCGTGGGTTTCCGATTCTGATTCTATAGCATGAGATCATGACACAATAAATAGGTTGTAGGAAACTACTAACACAACAAAATTGGAGATGCTAATTAATATTAATCAACACAAATCAAACGGTTCAAGTTCATGGGCCGACTTGCCGTTAATGCCACATAGATTCGCATTTTGTTCTTTACTCGCGTTCGATCTCTACTTCTTGATCGGTCCACTATGCGCCACACTTCTCGGCTTGTGCGCTGGCTCTCCATAACATCTTCCTCGCGCAAAATGACGCGCGATTTCCGTCATGGGTCCAGGTGCATTCTGATGACGTGTCTCCACACCCGATCAATACATCATCGTGGCTGCAAGTCATTCCTTTTTGTGACCAAGGCTCAAAACACATTAGATCCGTCCTGGGTCCCAAAGTGAGTGGTTCACCGGGTGGAGAACACCTGTTCTCTCCAAGCGATCAAGCTCCTGGTCAACCTTTGGTGTTGCAAGGCCCTTTCGAAAATCTGCTGTATACCTCTTGTAGGTGCTTAATGGCCACTGTTTTGGGGGCTGTTGGTTTGTGTATCTAGACAGCAGCACAGTTGCAGACTCTTGCATTTCGGTTCGCTGGCACTTTCTCGGTCAAGTGATAAAGGGCCTCTTGGTGCACTTTGGTCCCTGCAGAATGCGGCAATAATCGCAGCGGGAGGACTTTTGCTTCGGCACCTTTTAATTCACATTGTGACCTCCATTAGCTGTGTGGCGGACCTGGAGTTCACATCTGGCATTTGAATTTTCTACCTTTTTGGTGTCTGCTCCTGAGTTGAGCTGTTTGTAACATTCATCTGCAATGTGCTCTGATGTGAGTTCTGGTTCAAGTTCACAATCTTCTTGAATGTTCAACTTCTGTGTCAGCAACTCTGTCAATTGCCGCCGTGATTCCTCAAACATTGACTGCTGGACCTGAAGGAGCGTCTGCATTTGATCCGAAGAGGACTGTATACTGGAGTGATAACGTTCGAGTGAAAGTCTCGATCATACGCAGCTGTGAGGCCTCGTCCTGTTGCTGCTGTTGTAGCAATATGGTTTTCAGATCTACTGAGATTGCTGTCTCTGTTAAGCTTACATCCCGTCGCCAAAAATATTTTGTGATGCCCCCAGAAATTGTTGTGGTGCCGCTAAATGTATGGCTAACCTGCTGCTACCGTGCAATTGATCGTCGCCAGGAATGTGTTGTGGTTACCACTGATTTTACGGATAACTTGCCTGAATCAGTTGTGCCGCCCCCAACCAGTTCAACCGCAACGAAATGAGTACATTAAGAAAATAGCCGGATCAAGGGTTCTCGATTCTGATTCTATTGTACGAGAGCACGGCGCAATAAATAGGTTGTAGGAAAATACTAACACCACAAAATTGGAGATGCTAATTAATATTAATTAACACAAATCAAACGGTTCAGGTTCATGGCCCGACTTGCCGTTGATTCCACATAGATCCGCATTGTGATATTTACTCGTATTCGATCTCTAATTGTTTCGCTACGCTTCTTGGCTTATGCGCTGGCTCTCCGTAACAGGAGAACACTATGGAACATACAAAACTGAATTACAAAAAGTGAAAAGTAAGATGTGATGGTAGCCGGCAGGCTGGCGGCATCGGGTTCCGGATTTGCCTGTCACTGTGGCCTCCACGGGTACAGCCACAGGACGCCTGCGCCTACAGAGCGACCGTGAATGGCTTCCGCTGCACCACCCACAACTCCATTCACACTCCCCATATCCAGTATTAACCCCAAGGAATAAGACCGGGAGGCATGTGGACGGGAGTCATGTTTCATCAACGGAGCCGGCCCACACTCCTTCAACATGCACAGCAGCAGCATCCTTGTTTATCTGTGTAGGGAATCATGCGTACCAGACGTACATAAGGCGGTGTCTTAGCCGTAGTCCGCTCCATACTGGATGGAACTACTAAATATATATATATATATATATATATATATATATATATATATATATATATATATATATATGAAGAAAGAGACAAATTACTTTTCTTGTTTTGACGTACACAACCTTCGACTACAGATTGATCAGTCAAAATAAAATAAAATATTAGCTTAAACTCGAGAATCAATTCTGTCAAATGTGCGAATATAAAGCTCATCTGAGGAACGAGTGCTGAATGGGAACACCGTTCTGAGTCTGAAAATCGCCTTCATTTCTGATGTTTAAGTTTGTTCAACTTGTAGTAGCTATTAGTTTCTTCAACTGTGTGCCGGCAACAGTTCCATAGACAGTTGCACCACATAGTGACGATTGGAAGCGTATTCGAGTAGCTCCTTTGCTTCACGTCGTTTCAATTTTTGCGCGTTTCAGTTTGCGACCATTTCTTTTGAGCAGTTTTTCTGCCGAACGTATCGGATATATCGACATCGGGATAGTTACTGGCTACTTGGTCTTCCAGCTGTCTTTCAAGAGATTTCAAAACCAGGGGTTCCTTTTAGGGGATTTCGCTTGTCTCACCCACAACATCGACCTAAATTTTGACTATGAATTGCTCGTAGGTCTCGTATCAACAGTGAAGTTTCGCAGTCCAAACCATTACGAATTACTTGACACTCTCCAAAAGATGTCAGCTGCGGTCCACCATGAACACATTGTCTTGCGCGACGGGGAGTGTCATTCTGAGTCGGTCAGTCCGGTGCCCGTGATCGGAATGCGTCTTTGTCCTAATAATCTCACGCTAATACTTTGAGTAAATTTGAATTGCTTCCATTTATCTATTGTTTCTGAATGTTCACGTGTTACCATTACTACCACTAACATGATTATCAAGTTTTGCGTTCAGGAAGATTTTTGGGATATCTGTTTTTTTAAATCCGTTAGTCTGTTTGTGCTTTCTTTTTTTCCCTTTATTATTTCGGCTTGCAGGACGATGTGGACTTCGATGACATAACACCAATGCAGCAAGCATCTCCGCCGTTCGACCCGACCCCGTTCAATCATCCCGGTCAGTTCTCATCTCCCACAGGCCCAGTGCCCTTTCCCACCGGTGTGCCTGTACCGCAGCAACAACCGGTGTCCGGTCGACCGTATTGAGCTCCCTTCTTCACTTACACTTATCGTTCTGAGAAGACTCATTTCGCTGTGGTCGACATTCACCCCTTATTAGCTCTTGCCAATTTCCTACACATTGTTCACTTGCATTATAGCCTGTTTCAAGCAGCTCCGCTGTTTTATCACTCCAGTTTTCTCCTTCTAGCTTAGCTTTTCCAAGGTGTTTATGGTCACACGGCTATTCCGATTTATTTTGTTTCTAATCATTCCCGAAATTCGTCCGTTGCGATCTTCAATCATTTTTGTTCACTTCCCTCTTGCGGACGCTCTATCTAGTATGCATTTACCATTCCAACTCTCTTTTATCCTCGCTATTATGTGAAGCCGTTTTTTGATGAGCACCATCGTTATCGTCTCAGTTATTTCTGCTGTATGTTTTATCTTTACCGTTGATCATTTGAGAAAAATACATCTTTTTTTCGGCCGGGGCCTGAAAAATTTGCGCGCTTGCACTGTAATCTGGTTCGAGTCCGTGTAGGTGAAAGCGACCTCGCGTAACCGCGATGGTGCTCGCTTGGCAACGAAGCGTCAGTGCAGTTTGCAGGCGTACTGGTGATATTTACACCTCTCTTTCAATACTAGAATGAAACGCATTTCTCACCGTAGCTACACTTTCGTAACCATTTTTAGTCAGATGACAATAACAAACTTGCAACCGTAATTGAGCGTTTATTCAATTCGCGTGTCGCAATCCAATTGCACAACGCACGCTTCAAGGTGACCCCCATTTAGTCGTTCGGCGTTATTCACCACGACGCGCCAGCTTATGGGCAGGGAATTCGGCTGACACACCAAGGTGTTAGGCTCGAGTCGCAGCCCTACCACATCTGCCTTGACGACTGCGAAATCTATCGTTGAGTACGATATCGCGAGCGATCAACACCTAATATTCAGATGGTGATATAGCAAAACATCTATTTTACAAGTTGCCATGTCTTCTGTCTACAGGACTCGTATAGAGTCGGAGGCCAAAAATGGGGTCATGTCATGTGTATCAAGGCATGAAGACGATACAGAGTACTCTCATTTGGGCAGAACGCTTGAATTTATACGTCAGGCCAAACAAACGGGGGCGGCTTTCCTAGAAAATCAGTGAACTCACTTACAAAAAGATTCCACGTTTCAGTGAACTGTTGTCCATGAAAACGCTGGATATCAATGTGGGGAAATGACGAAACGCGGCTGTTAAGCTTCGAATAGAATGCAGTCTCGTGATGCACGAACGTGCAAAGGTTAGCTGAAAAGTTCATTGGGTGACTAAAGTGGATTTATTTCACTGGTTCGTCTCAACAGTTCACAAGCGTGATAACCTAGCCCCAAATCGGGAAAAGCACCAGACGATTGTTCCACCATCCTGGGGCCCGCCATTAATGCGCTTTCCCTCGCTCCTCTACGGGGAACCGAACCCGTGAACGCTAGCAACTCGCACCAACTGGCCAACAGCTTATGCCACATGGGACTGTGGCAGACCGTTACAACACGCAAACTAATCTTCCACTGCCGTGCATGTTACCAATCTTGCACAGGCTAATGTTTGGTTTCCAGAGGTCACAATTTCCAGTAATCAAAACACTTGTCTTCACAGTCTTCGAGTATCCTGTGCTGTGGAAGTCATGACCTCTGAAGGCCGGCCACTGTTGTTAACCTGCACGGCAGTGGGGAATAGGCCGAGTGTTTATCACCAGCATTTGTGTAATAATGATGATGACAGGGGATACAAACTCATCCGAAATTTTTCAACTTCGTAGTTGACCCCAGTTATCCGTACCACTAAAACATTATCCGAAGTGGGGTCTTCCACTAGACTTCTTGGCCCGTATGATCACTGGCCGACTCCCCGCGGTCGCGCTATCTACTACTTGGTTTTCCATCTCTTGCCCAGGGAGCGGCAACAATTTGGGATATCGGGTGCACTGTCATTGAACGGTTCTTAGCAGAAATAAATTTGAATCCACTTGATTTGTGGTTTCCCAAGAACCTATCATTTCCCTTTGAACAACGACCCTTTCAGACTGTTGCATTGGTGTTACTCAGTCACTCTAAGGAAGTGCTACTTATGCTCCGCTTTCGGCTCAATTTGACGTACCTTCCACATGTATGCCGTGTGCCGAAGATTTTATCTGAGACGACGCGATTTGCGTTTAGTTTACCGCACTCTGGTTCCCGACTCGACAGAATTTTATTAAGCATAGTTCGTGTTACATGCCTTTCCAAACGATAAGCTAGACAACCAGAGAAAGATTCCCAATTTCAGAGAATTACAAAGGTCACACACCGCTAAATTATGCCGTACGTACGACCGAAACTACAGCTTGATGTAGACCTTCATCGTTATTTATAGGCGGTCTAAACCGCTCTTGCGGGACGGTGTTGTAGAGTCTAGTCCATATCAGTACCACGTACTTCCCAAAAATCAAATCGTCAGTCTTGGCTTACGACACCGTGTCCAAGAATAGTAGCATGTACGTGATTGTAGGAGGTGCACGAAATGGCCGTCATCTCACAAATGTCATCGTCCGATATTTTACTTGAGAGACTGAATGCCTTTTAAAAACCCTATGGAACTGGTTATCTACCGTGATTTTATTAAACCGCTTATCAACTTGTCATATCGCATTTTTGAGTTCTGATCCGGATGTAGCAACAGCCCCGTTACTCTTTCATTATTCTCTCGACCAACTTGACGGTGTCTTTAAATCGGCGGTTGCTTTTTTCGCCCAACACTTATTTTTTTGCGTTTTTTATTGTAGATATATCATTTCTGCAAAAATAAGCTAGCAAATATTATGTTAAACCAACTTCCAACATCACTGAGAGCAATTCCACTCTTACCACCTTTTGAATATAAACGCCGAGATGTCGCGCACGATCCCCGATCTATCATCATTGGATACGAAATTTTGCGCGAACCTTAACAAGTTGTGGAGAAACGCTTTAATGGAATTTTGCCCGTTTGAATGGACACAAATCCCGCAGCATTATATGATCGTTGTTTGATCCAGTTATGACTGTACCCTTCTCATTTTTCTACGCATTTGTAAACTTCTAACACTTCATGGTGCCTGTTGAGAGTGTAAAATATTAAAAATGCACGCATTTGCGTACATAAAGCTTATGCTGACTTGACTACCAGATCAGTCTTTACCGTAACATCCCCTATCCCACAAGTCCCCCGCAAACGCGCATAGAGACCACCACGCAATGCATCACTAACTACTGCCATTGGCACGGGTCATAGTGATAGTTTGAAGTGCCCCTTGTTGAATGAAGTATGAGTACAGAAAACGCTTTTAGAATAACAGAACAACCAAATTACTTGATGCTCCTAACCTGCGCTGTTTCATATAAGTGACTTCAAGCTTAGCTACAATTAAACTAATGGTGAGCCAGCCTTTTTATAATAACGCACTTGGATCACAGCAGATTGGTGTTGGGTATTGCCCGATCTCAACACCGCACTCGAATGTATGACAAGCCAGGTAATTACGACCTCTGGCAAACGAAAGGCCAAAGAAACCGAAAACTACGTCCAGCAACCTGACGCCTCGCAACTTGATGGTCTTCCACGTATCTGAATCGTCGGATTCGAACCATCAGGTTTGTATGAGCACTACGTCGTTTCTGCAGTTTGGTTGATAGACTTCTCGACGTCTGTGAAGACGGGCTGAAAATAAAGCAAATTGCCCTTCTGGAAAAGAAAACTGAGGGAAAATTTCGAACCATGAGGGTCACCTTTGCTGACGAAGCTGGTCCGAGGTTGATATTATCGCGCATTAGTAGAACTAAGGGTTTGAAGATCCATGTGCGCGCAGACATGAATCCAGCAGACTGAGAAAAACTCAAGTCTGACGTGGTTGAACTAATGCGGCGCACTGAAGCCAGCGAAACAAATCTCCGCATTGTAAATTTTCGTGTAATTACCCGGGTTCTTTCCTGAATCCGAATGAACAGGTCACTAATGCTTCACGCACGCCCGACGGTTCCTACCGCGGTCTGCGTGTAGCCTTTACAAATGTCTGTAGTCTAATGAACAAACTTGATGACGTTTGCCACTTCGTCGCCTCTCGGCAACCAGACGTAGTGGGCTTAGCTGAAACTTGGTTAATTTCAGAGATAACCGCTCAAGAAATCGAAATAAGCTGGTATTCTTGCTTCCGCTTTGATAGGCTATCAAATGACTACGGTGGCGTGCTGCTATACATACGGTCTTCCTTGTGCAGGAGACTCGTGAGCATCTACAGAAGCGGTGGTAGTTTGTGTGAGCAACTATGGTGAGATACGGCAAATTCTCTGTGGGTGTTGTGTGTCGCAGTCCAATGAGCCGCAGCTTGGACTGGTTGCCTCATGTGCACAACCACATAAGTCGTCCGCAATTCTTGCTCATAGGCGCTTTCAACTTTCCTCGAATACGGTGACCCGAGGTCGGGCTTCTCCCCGGCTACTGCGAAGTGGAGACGAAGTTTGCGGAGATGGTGTTTGAAACTGGGGCCACACAGCACATCAATCAGCCGACGCTGATTATCGCGCGCTCGATTCCATCGTGCATGAACCTGTTGTTGGTCAGCTGCGGTCAACATCTGCGTGATGTTCAAGTCGTAGAGCCCCTGGCAGCCAGTGACAACTCGATGGTCATGGCGAGCTTAGAACTGCCACTGCCATTTACTCCTCTGCTGGAGCTAGCCTTCAACTACTGGAAGGTGGAGGTTAGTGGCCTCACTCAAGCCTGATGAACTGGTCGCTGGATTCATCATAAAAGTGGGAGTAAAATCCTTGCGCCCCTTAAATATCGAAAAACTGGACCAGTCAAACTACACTGATTTGACAATCAGCATGGCAAACTGGCTCCACGGCGATGTCAGCTATGGAATAAGTTTGTGCAATCTGACTCTGCAGAAGATGACGAGGCCTACAAGAGGCAACAAATGCCTGCAACAACACGAAAACGAGCAAACGCTGATGCTTCACAGAGCAGTTTGCAGCTGCAACAAAAATAGCTCCCAAGAGGATCTTTGCATACGTGAAGCGACACCTGAAGCCGACAGGTGATGCGCTTGTGTTGGAGGGCTTAGACGGACAACCCCTAGTTTCCAGAACTGAACATGCTTCCGCATCGGTGGCGGACTTCGCTTCCGTTTTTGCAGATAACCAGGCATCCGTACCGAGTTTGACATATATCGCCCCTACAGAGCTGGGACAGCCTGAATTGCACCATTGAGGACGTGCGGGAATTGTTCGCCAGTCTTGACGGTACCAAACCTGATGGGCTCCACCCGCTAATCCTCAAATCACTATCGGCCATCATCTCGCCTTCGGTGACTGAGCTGTTCAACAGGTCGCCGTCTGCCGGTTCATTGCCTAGCGACTGGAAATGCTCAGTGGTGAAACCGATTCCGAAAGGCGGCGATCCGAGCAAGGTGGACAACTGCCGGCCGATATACCTAACCTCTGTTTTGGCTAAGACACTCGAGAAGATCGTGAAGCGTAGTCTTCTGCAGCACGTCGAGTCGAAAAGCATTTTGACGTCCGCGCAGCACAGTTTCATGAAAGGTCGGTCATGCATTACAAACCTGCTACTCTCGAGGCACGAATAGTTGCAAGCGCTAAACCAAGGGAAGTCGGTGGACGTCATTTACATCGACTTCACTAAAGCATTCAACAGTGTGAACCATGAGATCCTCCTACGGAAGCTGAAGATGTGAGGTGTTAGTGACTCACTGCTCCAGTGGATCGGTGACTTCCTTATTGGTTGGACGTAGAGGGTGCAGGTGGACAACCACCTGATCGTGTGGTATTTCTCGACCAGCAGCGTCCCGCAGGGCGCACTCCTTGGGCTCAGTTTGTTCTTGATCCACATCAACGATTTGCCTCAGCTTTTCAGTTCATTTTGCGAGTTGTTTGCAGGTATGTAGGTTAATTGAGGCACCCGACGACTGCGACCTGCTTCATCGTGACCTTGACCGCCTCCATGTGGTCAGTAAAGCTCAGCCTTCCAATCAACCCGGTCAAGTCGGTACTCATGAGCCTGGGCAAGAGTGGGAATGGTCGAGTATACAATCGGGAAGTCAAAAGTTACACCCATCGCCATCCGTGAAAGGTCCCGGCGTATTCTCGCGCTGTGATTTGAAATCCGTGGAAAACACGAACACGCTTTACTAAAACGGAATGCGCATGCTCTGCGCACTCTAACGCAGCCTCGGCATGATCCGAAGAGGTTCCCATTTGCCTCTTCTTTTATCAGACCAATGTTAGAGTACAGCTCACCAGCTTAGTGTCCGCTCAATCCGGGGTGAGGCTAAAATGATTGAGCGGGTACAGCATGTTGCCACAAGGCTTGTAAAGTCCAGAAGAAACTTTGATGTATCCCCAACTTGGATTGCTTACCCGAAGACACAGTATCTCTATTCACTAATTATTCTGTTCATCTATATTGCTTTACTGTGTCCTACAAGCGGTTACCATATCGTATATTTATTCCTTTCACTCGATCACTGACATATCCTTGACGTTTCAAGGTTACTGTGACACTGCCCAAATATTCGCACGCTGCACAGTTTCTGCCCACTTGCACTACGATTGCAAAACCTATTCGTAAGTCATGTACTGTACTTAATATGCCTTATATGAACACGGTTACAGGATAATTCGTTTTATTCTTCTGCCCAGACCGTGCGTTAAGTCTAGGTTTATTTGTTCGTAGTTTCTAGTTTAGTTTTCGTACGAGGTACTTAGTTTACGCTTCGTATCGTTGGTACAAGGTTCATCCCCGGTTTACGAGGTGTGCCATATGAAGACCGGTGCAAGAGACTAGGGTTGTACACCCTGTCTTATCGTCGAATGCGTGGCTGACCTCATCATGACGCATCGGATATTACATCTGGGTCGAGGCCGCTGCTTCATCTACGCACACCAAGCAGCACACGAGGACACTGGTACAAGCTTGTCATACCGGATTTGAAGCGGGTCGCTCGCCAACTATTTCGTACGGAGGGTGGTGAATATTTGGAACAACCTGTCCGCATAATCGGTGCCGGAGTCTAAGAAACTCCTGGACTCGCACTTTGCCGACTTGAGGTTTCGAGAATTATCACCATAATAATAGGTAGATTCGCTTGAAAAATATTGGGTGTAGCTACGCAGAGGTATCACTACTCGCTGCATCTTCTCAGTATTCAGCATTCAACGACAACAATTTATTCTTCCAGCGCAATTCTGTATGTACTAATAGCCTTCAATTCGTCCAGAATACCTAGCAAATATGGCTCTAATGTGGTGTGTTAACAAGCGGCGTTTCCTAAGAAATACTTCAATGGAACTGACCAACAGAAATTGCGGTACGAAGGTTTGTGGTAAGCAGAAGCGGGACAGAATGCGTGGATGTATGGGTTTCATGCGTGATCACCCACATCAATATTCCAACGATGTGCGATCACAAATAGTACGGTGTCAAAGTTACGAGTCATGAGATGGTTTACGCTAGTGTTCAAACAGTATAGTCTCGGACAACATGACAAGCAGCGCCAAATCTAAATTGTATTACAGCGCCTCGTATTCCACACGCCTTACCAAGCAAATTCGGCAGGCCGAATCCGGCCCGCGGGTCGTAGTTTGGTGACCCATGCGCTAGACCGAACCAATCATGCGCTGCTCATGCAACTATCGTCAGCCGGTTAACTCATCCACAATGTGGGTAGTCCGTGACTGATATTTCTTCCACTAGCCCTGTATCTATTACGTTCACCTGCACCATCACACAAGGCAGGGTGAAATAGGTCCATCTTAAGTATGTGAACGCAGAACTGCTTGGTGCTGACTACAAACATACTTAATAGTCACGAAAAAATCTATCTGTTCCAGATATCGCAGATGATACCTACGACCGCGATCGACCGACCTTCTCGACAATTATGCATTTCATTGGTTAGAGTTCACGTTTCAGATGGGCGGCAGTGAGACGGTGAAACGTTGTTATATCCAATCATAAGAGGTAACCCGTGATGGTTGCACGCTGTGGAATGAACATGCCGTTTGAAACCCGAGAAATAAAAGATCAATCGGCTCTTTCCAAACCTCTGATTAGGATGTTAAAACCGAATTTCCAGGTATTAACACTTACAGAACATTTACCGCAACATGGACAGAAAGCAAGCCCGTACATTTGTTCCAATTTGAACAGTTGACGATATCCACAGTGCATTTGGTCGTGGAACCAATAACAACCGAACCGCACAATGGTGCTTTCAAAAACTGCAAGAAGGTTACGAGGCATAGGGATGGAAAGCGTGGTGGATGGCCATCGGAAATGAACAGTCAAAAAGTAAGGGCCTCATTCGAAATAAAATGGTTTGAGTGCTTGCTCCTGACTTAGCAGAATTACAAGTGACACTTTTCAAGCATTCATGGGGATTGGAATAACGAAAAAGCTTGATGAGAATGTACCGCACAAATTGAATGAAAACGAAAGGAATCAGCGTTTGGAAAGTGTCGCTACCCCTGTTGTGCGCAACAGCAACGACTCGTTTCTCAACCACATTGTGACATGTGATGAATAGCGGAGCCCTTACAACTATCGACGACGCACAATTCAATGGTTAGACCTTGATCAGGTTCAACAGCACTTGCACCCCAAGAAACGTTATAGTGATTGTTTGGTAGTCTACAACTGGTTTGGCCCACCAAAGCCAGGCGAAACCATAACAACGCAGTAGCATTCTCAATAAACTATAGAAATGCAACAAAAATCAACAAGTGTTCGGCATTGACCAATAGAAATATGCCAAAACATCTCCACGACAACGCTTGGCCGCACAGGCTGAGCTGCGAAATTTCTCACACCCACCATATGCCCCAAATGATTGCCACTTCTTCAAGCATTTGGTTACCTTCTTCCAAAAAATATACTAGTCCAAGGAGGTGTTGAAACTGCAATCGGAGAGTTCGTCGCCAATAGAATTCCGGAATTTTATCCACATGGGATAAATAAACTTGTTTCCCGTGGGCAAAAATTTGTCAATGTAAACGGCTTCAATTTCGATTCAAATTATTACGTTTGATTCAAGATATGTGCATACACATTAAAAACCTAAAAACCTCAATTAACAACCAAATAGTCCAGCCGGTTTTTGGAGCAGATATCGGTACCATTTAGTCCCGGTTGTGAGATGCCGAGTATACCAGTCAACATTCAGGAATCGTAATTGGTTTCAAAAGACCGATTGTTGAAAACGAAACCGGTTGGAACATGTGCTACTCTATGGTTTAAGATGCCCAGAGAGTAGAGCAATTTCACACTCTACTTAGTGTCCGATTGCGTGAGTAGTTCGATGCGAACATCAAAGCGATGTGTGCCAAAAAGATTGGTACACAGTGAACTACATGGAGGGCCAAGCGGTGAGTTTCTGTTATCACATCTTACCTCTTGTGTGAGGTACGTCATTAATTCTAATTGAGGTATGTTTCTTGATGGATGCAGTTCTCAGTTTAACCGTTTGTCGTGTTATCATGTCTGCTCACACACTTTCATTATTTATAAATTATTGTTATACACCACTGTTATGAATGTGTTAATTACTTTTTCCATGTGAATATTGTCATCTACCTCCTAAAACTTTGTTATTTTGCTTTCACTTTTTCAACCATTCGCTTAGACGTAGCTGGACGTTCTGCAGTCTTCGTGGATTTCGACGAATTTTGAAACGAAATCAATGGCATTGGGACCATAAGTGTTTTTGTACAGCAATTTTGTAAAACCTGCATTTCCTTAGTACCTATGATCGGACCAGCTTAGCTGCACCATGCCTCACATAGTTCAGAATATACCAATTATAAAGCAAATCGAAAACAAATGGGATATTGTGGGGAATTTGTAGAAAGCGACAAAGTTCCGAGACAGATTGGAGCAAGGAAATCATGATCAAGGGCACTGGTAAATAGTGATCACAGAGACAGGGATGGGCACTCAGGAGAGGTTTGTTGTCTCCGGTTAAAACATCTTATTTCGTTTCAGCTCGCGAGCATGTCGCGCTGCTCGAACGTCAACTGGAACATCTGAGATGAAGAAATGGATGGCCAAACCAACAAGAACTAATCCATGCTCTAAAAGCAGGTATAACAGGCCAAAAGAGACACCTAAATCCTCTGATGAAGTGTGTAGCGAAGCGATAAACAGGCCGACATTAGTGGGTATGGACAACCAGGCTTGGGCGGCTAACAAAGCCAACCAAATGAAAGTTCGTCGAAGAATAGGGCGAGCAAGAGGCCGCCTGACGACAAGAAGCATTTTCAACGCATCCGAGTGACACTCCACGAAGGTAGATAGGAATGCGACTGATGGGGCCAGCATTGGACACACATAGGCGAATGTTACAAGGTAGCCGTGCTGTAAGACCATTTCGAGATAATCGTCGAACGGCTCGTAGACATCTGCACACAAGTCTTTATTAAGTGGGATGTGCGAGTCGTTGTTGGTCTCTGAAACGTCGCCAGCATGATCCGCCCCCCGTTTTTCCTTCGCAATGTCACGACTCGCTTGCAACAGACGAATTCGATAAATCACAAAAGGAATCAAACATTCTAGACAAAACCGGCGAGCACAGTCAGTGATGAGCATCGTCAGAAGAAGAGATTGTAGAGCTTCTCGATCCGCCAGGACAAAACCGAGGTAAGCCAGACAACCGTACGCATCGAGAGCCTCAAAGAAGAAGCGTTTAACTACGAACGCACGATTGTACGCCTCGTTCCCCTGGAAAGAGAAATATGAAGTGAACTTAGTCATGAGAGGAAATAAACACAATCCTAGTAAAGGTACATCAGAGCAAACCTCAACAAAAAGAACCGAATTCAATATGATGTGTCATTTGATGGTGGGGAGCAACCAAAAACAAGCTGACTTGAGGAAAACCTACGCCGTCCCCATGTTTTCTCAATGCTTGGTGGGGTTACCGTGTGACATGGAAGCCCAACGCGATCTAATCTGATATCAGCAATCACGAATCGCACCCGACCAAAAATAATGCTCCAAAAAAACGAAGCAGAATGGAAGCGGCAAAAAGCCAATGTGATAATTTTGTTATCAAGAAAGTCAAAAAGAACGATGCAAATAGAAACCTTGACCCTACTGGTAAACACACAATCCAACACAGAGCGCATCATTATTTCACATGCGCGGGCAACGTCCCTCGAGTAGATGAATGATCTCTCAATCAGCACTTCAATGCAAATCACTATGAGCTTTGCTAGATGTCAACCTAACGAGTACAGTTGTTTTCGGAGACTAGAATAAGCATGAAATAGGATTATTCTAAAAGAGGTTCGTGATTGTCACACTTCGTTTGATAGCGAATACATATCCAGAATAGTACCAAGCGGCTGCTTCGTCTTTCCGGGGCTCTAATGCGCATTCTGGTTACCTATTGTGGAGCTATAACCCGCAATCCATTGCAAATATATATGTTTACAAGGAAACGATAGGCGGAGGGGGGGCTCAATGGTGAGCGGCGCTATACCTTGAAATGGCGTAACTTTCGGCCAACATGAAAAAAGTTTAAAACTGAGATGGCAATTACTTTTATTATTTTGTAGAATAAAATTGGTCTTGGGTTAAAAATTTATTTTTCATTATTTTGAAATCATTTTATACTGAACTGGAACAATCAGTCCTGAAAATACTCGTTGCGAAGATGGCCTGTTTTATGATATGTGGTTAAGATACGGTATACTTCCATCTGTGAATCAAGTTTCTAGGAGAGTGTATGAGCAACTGTGTTGTCGCTTTGTCAATAATAGTAAGCATATTACATGTTATCCACACTTGTATCATGCATTACGTTATTATCTTGGTGACCAATATTACCCCAATAAGATATTTTATTTTAGAGGAACTTTGGTCAGGTGGCTAAATTAACACCGTTAAGTAAACACTGTTAGAATACAATGCTTAATGTGCAAGGTCAAATAAAACGTCACTAGTGTTAACTGCGTAGTATAAGCGCTCATTGAAGCCTACTTAGACAGTCAAGAGAGAGCAGTCGAGAGGTCTAAAAACAATAAACCTGGAAAAGACTGGCTTGAGTCCAAGACTAACACTGTGTCAAACTACCTCAAAGAAGTGAGCAATTTTGTCAAGTAAAGCAGTCTCGGTGCTTTGACAAAAATTAAGAAACGGTAACGGATGTTACGCCGTCAAACGTAATTAACTACAATGAAACCAATTTATCTGATGATCCTGGGCGAACAAAAGTAATCTTTAAAAGTGACACCAAATACCTCGAGCGGATGAGGAACACGTCAAAGTCACCAACTAGCCTGATGCTTGGTGCCACCATTAATGGAAAGTTACTGCCGCCATATGTAGTGTACAAAGCCGAAAAGTTTCGGGACACTTGGACTGAGAATGGGACACACGATATAACATGTCAAGGTAAGGCTGGTTTAACAACACCTGCATTCTGGACTGGTTTCTGCAAGTGGCATTACCATTCCGTCGCAGAAATACTGACCGCTGTGTCTTTTTACATGACAATCTCAGTTCACATTTTTCTCTTGATATTTTCGGAGTCTGCTATAAAAACACTGTAGCTTATTGTTGCCTTCCACTTAAGTCAACACACTGACAGCCTCTAGATGTAGCATTCTTTCAGCCTACGAAGACCCAATGGAGAATCATCCAGACAAAATGGAAAAACCCGTAGCAAAAAGGCCCAAACCATCCAGGATAGGTTTCCGGGGATGCTTTAGCAGCTTTTACATATCATGGGTGAAGGTATTGCAGTAAAATTACGGTCGATTTAGAAAAACTGTCATATATCTAATAAATTTTCAGTCTCTCCTAAGCAGAATTTCAGAGGAAAATGAAGATACCATCAGCACCTCCATTTCAGAGGTCATTCAATCAACAACTGAAAGAAATGTGCCTTGCGACTAGTGAAGAAAATCTACGACAACGCAAAAGAGCTCTGAACATCCAGCCTGGAAAAATATCTCGGGTAGAACCGAAGAGCTTGTTACCGGAACCGAACCAGAAAGTGACTCGACTGCCAACATTTATCTAAGAGAAGCCGACTACTTGTCCACCGTCGGTGGTGTCAGTGACAACCAACTAGAAATGTTTCCTGATTGTGATGACGAGTGTGTTCCACCATCAAAGGTCCGTCAAACACGAAAAACATTTTTGAAATATCTGTTCAGGTATTCAAGGTTATAGATGCGTTTTACAGTTTTTTTACACATAAACAGTAGTTTTACTTACCCTTGCGTTATACAACATGGGTTCTGTGTATGTGTTGTCTTCATGGTCAAAGTATCCCTGTTAAGGGGTAACTTTGACCAAAGTATAACATTACAAAACAACTCCCTTAAGGATATAGAACTGCATCGGTTAACACTTTCTCCAGCATTATAACATAAACAGATCATTTAATAAGTTAAGCAAAGCACTGGTAAATGTGCGACACATTCCAAAGCAAAAAAATGAGCAAAAGTTACCTGGTTTTACGGTGTCACATCAAGTAATTTAGCCACCGTAGTCGTTGCCACCCCACGTAGCTCAGTGGTCTCAACCACCGGCTGGCAACAAAAGTTGCGGATTTGAGACCCACAGGGATAGGAAGTAATGCGCAGTGTTAACGATTCCCGAAAAGATGAAAGGGTGGTATAGTGCTTTTTCGGGCGGGTGACAGCTGTCTGACTGAGTCTAGATATGATGGGGTTTCTGCCCATACAGTGCGTCACGGACATCCACAACCGATGCGTCATGCTACACCCACTAACTACACTTGCCCAATCACATGACTATAGTGCATTCGCTGACTGGCCTATGTTGTTCATTGGTTCGTTTGGTCCTATAGGTTTCCACCTGGCTCCGGTTAGGAGCAGATTACAGTTTCACATGTACCATCCGGCGTTGGTGATTTTCCTACATCTAAACGGGCTACGTGTTCATACACAGATTAGAAATACACGATCAGTACGTAACACTACGTATGTGTCTAATGCGCACAGGACAGGTCTGGCTCCTAGTCACTTCCCAAAGTATTCTATCAAACCACAGGACGATAGTGACTGAACAAAAGTGGTGTCTCTGGGTCCAGCGTTGTCCTCCGGTTCCAAACACCTAAAGTGTCGAGAGATGAATCGTTTTGCATACAAGCATTCACACTGGTTGCCGCAACCCCTCATGTTTGCGTGGTTTGACGTATTGAATGGAAAGTGAAGGGACCCAGATTCTAGCCCCTTACTAGGCAGATGGAGTGCGAACTATGAACGAGTCCGAAAGAAAAGATACCTATCCAGTACCCGTTCGTGTATACAGTGGCCGTCTAACTAACTGTTACCGTAACAATTCCCGTTTGCAATAATTCTAACTGCTGTACTGATGGCAGGAGATTATATACAGCACGATCAGGGTCGGTCGGATTATTGCTAAAAGATTCTCAGCATAATGGACAGACATGTGTTCTATTTTGGTACCAGCAATCCACTTTCTCTCAACCGGATGATAAACGAAGCAACCATGATGCATCAACAGTGAGATACGCTACGTGAGAGCCAAGGTGTATGCTGATAGTGGACATGGCTGTGGTTGGTCACAAGACAGTGCGAGGAAAGTACCTCCTTCATAAACGGTACGACAGACATACGGTGGACAGAGGCAGCTACCATGAGCTGTCGGCAACGTGCCAATGCAGCAAAAATGAAACCTCATGGCCGCACCAAAACAAATCGGTAAACTATGCGAAGCCAAATGAGGATAAGAGTGCCAGAGAATCGACCGGATTAGTGCAGAGACCGGTCGACCGAGTAAAATACGGAAAACAACATAGTAGCTCGGAACAGCAAGGAGTAACGCCTTTAATGATATCCACATAACGTGAATTGAGGCGGACAACAGCCGGATAAAGACTACCCCGGAGCGGGTAAAAAATGAAATGGCAATTATGCAGTGAACGACATTCGGAAAGGAAAGAACCCGACGGAACTGTCGAGACTACCCTGAAAAATTGAAGTACAACACCACAAGAGCGATGGCTTGAATATACAATACAGTGAAACAATTAGATCATATCCTATTAACAAAACTAGCGACAGATCAGGTAGAAATTTTCGGATGGTTGGGTAGAGGTAGGAGGCAAAGTTGGCGAGAATGAGTAATTTCGTTGCATATATGTGCATGCTCGACCGGTGTATTATTGTGGATTGATGATGTAGTCTCTCTGAAAAGCGGTGAAACACACTGGATGACACTGCTTCTTCCGGGAGTGACATTAACGGTAGGGATCAGGAAACTTAATGTCGGAAGTTGTGACAAATTCACTCATTCGTTGAACACGTTAAAACAGTGAAGCTCCCACAAAGCCCAAACTAAGTAGTCGCTAAGGCATCCGCAATACGCAGGCAGGTCGCACCGGCACAGCGTTGCCAGGTGACCATCAACGGTCTCGTATAGACTGAACATGCCGTGAGGTCGACCGCACATACGCGGATTCGAACCGGCGACTTCCGGATTACAAGGCGAGCGTGCAATCTTTTCGGCCACCAGCCGATAGTAGTCGCAAAGGGTGCGATCCAATACAACAGCGGGAATAAAGTCGTTCGAAGGAGCGGGACACATCTCACAAATGTAATACAAGGGAGAGGTTCAGTGAAATAAATCTAAGTATACGAAGGAATTCCTCGAAGAGATCGGTGCGAGAATTATATAAGACAGATACCATACAAAACAGACGACTTGCCGAAGAACAAGTC